CCTCCTTTTCCTTCTTCTTCCAGGGATAGAACAGAGGACTTTGTGCTTGCTAGGCAGGCACAGTGCCACCGAGCTACATCTCCAGACCCTTGTGTCCCCATCTCCTTTCTGGAAGTGGTGGTGGTGGTGGGGTGTCTTTGGTAAATTAACTACTATAAGTTTCATTCTTCAGTGCAGAGAGATTTATAATATAAATGAGAAGCTTTGTTTTAGTGGAAAAAGGTGTAAATAGTTCCTAAGGATACCCTCAAATTTACTGCTTCTTTGATTTTCCTAGCCTTAATATTAGGAGTTTAACTAAGGAGTTAACTAATTAAAAACCAAGGTACATACACTTACTTTCTCAATATCCTGATTTCCCTATCTTTTTCCCTTACCTGTCTTTCTTTATTCCCATCCATCTTCTTAAACTAGCTCTTGTTGTATATAATCAACAAAATTTGCTAAACTCTTAGTGTGTGACCAATGTGGCATGCAAGAAAAGTCTGGGCCTTTGCTTGGGGGCAAAAGCATCAAGTTGAGCTTTCTGGAGAAGTCATACATGAGTATCAGAAAAAGTATGCAGAGGAATCAGAAGGGGACTAGAGTTCATTTCAAGTCCTAAGTGTTAAAGACCAAAAGATCTCATCAAAAGAAAATTATAGCAATAGGATTAAAAAAAGATAAATGAGAAGTTTTGATTTGTTCATCTAGCCTGAGCTTGAAGATGTTGGCTTCTATTTATCAGGTCTTCATCCTTCCCAGGTAAACCGGATGAGAGACAGCTGAGTACTGCATAGTGTTATAATTCTAAATAAATGACGATGAATGCTTGCGTGAATCTCTTCAGTCATGTAACACTGTGTAAGAAGAGTAAGACTGCTGAAGGTCTACTTAGGGTTGAATCTCTATAATTTTGAGTCAGTTCTTCAATTTTAGTTGTCTCATCAATCAAATGAGGACAATGATTGTCACAGAGCTCTTAGAAAAGAGCTTTTTACAGTAAGTTCTAAATTAATTTTAGCTTTCAAAAATACTATTAATGCTGTATCCACTTGAACTAAGGGACCTTGGAAAAACAAATAGAAATGGATTTAATGAAAAAACAAAAAAATAAAAATTTAAGATGCCAAATTAAAAACAAGAAGAATACAGCTTCACCTTTTTCGTCTTACAGCACTGCAGCAGAGCTACAGTGACTTCTGCTTTTGGGAAAGGGAAGCAGTCTAAGAGCAGCAACTGAAACTGAGGCAGAAGAGGGAAGAACTTCAAAGTATAAAAGACATTAAACTGGTTTGTGGTACCACACTAGCTCTTGTTCTGAAAGTACGTTTTAGACTGGAAGCTGAAGTTTCTTGTAGTTTGCTACTATCCATGGCAAAGGGGAAAAATCTTCCAACCAAAGTTCAAATCTCTCTTTGAAGATTCCTTTTTTTTTTTTGTTTCCCAGTGATCCTCTTTTCTTGACCCCACAGATCGCACTCAGGAGAGGATGGCAGCCAAGAACTCTTCTGTGACAGAGTTTATCCTTGCAGGTTTAACAGACAAGCCAGAACTTCAGACCCCCCTCTTCTTCCTGTTTCTAGGTTTCTACATGGTCACAGTACTTGGGAACTTGGGCTTGATCCTCCTGATAGTGCTGGACTCTCACCTGCACAACCCCATGTACTTCTTCCTCTTCAACCTCTCCATAATAGATTTATCTTACTCCACTACCATCACCCCCAAAATGCTGATGAGTTTCATCTCCAAGAAGAACATGATCATGCATGCTGGTTGCATGACTCAGTTCTTTTTCTTCTGCTTCTTTGTCATTTCTGAGTCCTTTGTCCTTTCAGCAATGGCATATGATCGCTATGTTGCCATCTGTAACCCACTCATGTACACAGTCACCATGTCTCCCCAGGTGTGTTTACATCTCTTGTTGGGTGTCTACACAATGGGGTTTGCTGGGGCCATGTCTCACACAGGAAGCATAATGAGTCTGACCTTCTGCTCTGAAAACCTTGTCAATCATTTCATGTGTGACATCCTTCCCCTCCTTGAGCTCTCCTGCAACAACTCTTTTGCACATGAGCTTGAACTCTTTATTGTTGTAGCCATTGGCATCGGAATACCCACTGTCACCATCTTCGTTTCTTATGCCCTCATCTTGTCAGTTATTCTTCACATTAGTTCTGCAGAGGGTAGATCCAAAGCCTTTAGTACCTGCAGCTCCCATGTCATTGTGGTTTCTCTGTTTTTTGGTTCTGGGGCATTCATGTATCTTAAACCACCATCCATTATGCCCCTTGATGAAGGGAAAGTGTCTTCCCTTTTCTATACCATTGTAGTACCAATGTTAAATCAATTAATCTACAGCTTGAGGAATAAAGATGTCAAAATTGCCTTGAGGAAAGCTTTGGACAAAAAAATATTTTCTTAGCAAAGAAGGAATATTTTAAAAAGGAGATGATGTTTTGTTTATTAATATTGATTGGGGTGATCAAAATGTATGGTGAATATTTAAATTAAAAAAAACCCATTTATTACAGTGAAAGTCACATTTCTGTTTCTTCCACCCCAGTATACCCTCCCTCCTGGCACACTTATCCCATAATTATGCCACTTGCAGAAAATTCTCTTCATGAATGTCTTACAAGGTGTGATTAAAAAATACAGTGAACACTGCTGTTGAGTGACATCCAATGGAATGGCCAGCTCATAAAAACTTCATGTTGTGTCCTCATCGACATTATTCGTGGATCTAGTACTGTACAATTTCTGACCAAATAGTTAAAATGATCATGAAAGATGAACACTTTGATTTGATTCAAGACATCAAGTTGAGGGTCTTTATAGAAAATTGTGGAGTGATAAAGAATGACAAACAACTCAGCCTCTTTGAAATTTGGAATCCAGACACTGGAAAATAATTTAGGAAGGAAAGAAAGAATGAAATAAAAAAAAAGAAGTAGATTCCCATGAATCAGGAAGAATCTGATAGAAAATTAAAACCTACAGAGGAATTGCAGATAGAGCACAGTACAGTAAAAGGAAGGATCAGTCTGCACTTTTTCCCCAGCTCTTGGCTTATGGCTTATTGCAAAGGGAGATTGAATCTACAGAGACAGAGGGGAAATTCATGTACTCCAAATTACAAATTCCACTGTTGTAAAAATATTTCAATATATATGCTAATTGGTTTCAATTGTTACTAGTTTATCTTAGCTCATTAAAAGAGAAACTAGTGTTTTATTATGTTTCTTTTTTGTGAGACTTTTTGATTTATATTTTGTACTCTGAATACTTTAAAGATAATGATACACAGTGTAATAGCTATTGCTATTCTCTTATTATTTGATTTTAAACTTTGCTTCATTAATCATACAATAATCTAAAAAAATTGTATACCATGGACTCAGAGGGCTTTAGGGAGGAAGGTAGCAGTGGAATGGACCAATAGGATGGACCAGTGAGCTGCAGGAAGAGTATGGGATTCTGCTCCCATGTGAGTTCTTCAACAAGCAACAGCTGGTGAGTGACTCCAGTCCACACACCTGTCATATTCTCTGGAGAGAGTGCTTCATCAGACATCATTCTTGGGAAGGGGTTGAACATTTGAGCCCAGAACTCAAAGCATCCATGGAATGGCTTCATTTAGAACTCTTTGTGTTACATTCCCACAGTGGGTGAGAGAGTCATGGTAGACAACTATGGTCAAGGAGCCATGGTCAGACTGGTTAGAGACCCCTTGAAGGGTTTAAACTAAGGACACAGGCCCTGCACCTGTGGTCAGCAGTCAGGCTGAGCCTGAATTCCTCTGAATTTGAAATTGCAGCATTGGTGTTCTTACTGTAATCCTATTGCCTGCTGATGCCTGCATCTAGTGCAGATCTATGATTTGTTTGCCTTCTTTATCTACCACCATGAGCAGGGATATGTCTTGACTTGGACATAACCCCAAAATTATAGAATCCACTAAGAAAAACCATGTTTGAAATCACAAAATCACAGAGAAATTTCTTTCTTTCTTTCTTTCTTTCTTTCTTTCTTTTTTTTTTTTTGGCTAGTGTGTGTTTTTAGATTTTTTTGTTTCATTTTGCTTTTGTTTTTTTGTTTTTCTCTTATCTATTTTCCTTTACTCAGTTCTTCTTACTAGTTAAAAGGGAATTGGGGAATTTTTCTTTGTCCTTCCTTCCTTATTTTTTCTTCTTCCTTTTAATTTTTCTTCCTTTAATTTTTTCTCATTTTTTATTCCCTATGTAATTTCTTTTGCTCCCTCTTTTCTTATATCTTCTATTTCTCATCATTTTCTTACCTTTACCTAATTCTATAAATAATTGTTCAACTTCCAATAAGATCCTTTGTAACACTTTTCTCTCCTCCTCATATAGTTTATGGTTTAAAATTTTTTTCATTTGCATTCCTTCATTATTAAATCCTATATCTCTAGTAATATAGCCATAAAACTTGGTTAATATTTTTTTTATATAAAGCTGTTCTTTTTCTAGCTTCTGCTTTTTTTTTTGGTACCAGGGATAAAACTCAGGTCCTTGTGCTTGTGAGTCAGAAGCTGGAACCACTGAACTAAACCCCTGGCCTGTTAATCTTTTGATAGCTCTGTAAAATTACTGTTGAATTCTTCTGTCACATTCATTACATATTAGCTGTAAGTCAATACCTGGGTTGTCTTAATGTTTACATCATAATTAGAGATTTCTTCTCTGGAGTCGTGTGGTACATAATTTATTCTTATGGTATGTTAATATCCAGTTTGTCTTGGATAATACTGCTTTAGCTGATTTGTTTGATATTACCAGGTCATGCAGTTGTCACTGTCACTCAGATTATATTTGTTACCTTAACCATACTAGAGTTCATTCCCAGAGAAATTAGTTGCTGGACTAATTATATTGCATCCTCTCCTTCCATATTAATCAGGCTGGTCAGATTTTGGGGCTGAGGCAAAGACATAGTTAGCCATGACTAAAGTACATCACTCAAAAGCAACTAAAGAGAGCTCTATTAGCAATAAAACATTTGCAGTTTAAGCACCCACGAACCTCAGCACAACACAAAGAAACAAATAAGCAAATGAATACAGACATGAGAAGACAAATACTTTCCAAAACTCTCAACACTGCCAAAACCAATCTAGGACGCATGAAGGGACAGAATAGATAAGCCAAATATGTAGATTACTTGAAAGGATTACAGAGGAGTTTAGAAATCAGATTGCTGGGGATGTAGCTCATTGGCATTGCACCTGCCTGGCAAGTGCAAGGTCCTGAGTTTTATCCCTGGTACTGCCGGGGTGGGGGGCAGAGAAAAAAGAAAACGGATCAAGAAGGTACTCAGTGAGATCACAGAAGACATAACTAAGCAGATATCAGAAATAATAACCAAAATGACTCAAAGCCTTTCTGAAGACACTAATAAAAACTTGCATGAGCTAAAGAAAATGATATAAACCACGAATGACCAGTTTAGCAAAGAATGACAAGGCTTCAATCAGAAATCCATAGTAACAATTACACTGAAAGTATGGGCAGCAGAAATGACCAATATGAGTTTTGGAGAACCCTGCAGTGGGTTCTGATCTGATCTGGTTGGTGCTATGTCGCAAGGTTGAAAGAAAAACTTAAAGTCAGAACTAAAAAGACTGAGACATGGGGAGCCTAGGATGTCCAGTGCAGCTCTATCAGTAAAGGCACTTGTCAGTCCAAGCCATTGATGTTTAGTGGTAATCAGATTGCGTTAAAGGGGTACTATGTGCAAGAATGTATAGTCATGAAGTTGCTATGGATACAATTGCAGGCAAGACTTGTAAAGGAAAAGCAAAACATTCTTGAATGAGGAACAGAATAAACAAAATATAAGTTGTTGTTAATAATTAACCTTGTCTTTTTAGTAAAGGTTTCAACTCTGGGAAGAGAATTTGGGTAAGAGTCACTTTGACCTCAGCATGTAGGGTGCAACCAAACTTGCTTCTCAAAATAAGCCAATTGTGGGGTTAACTCTTTACAGCCTACATTGCTTACAGTCTGATTTGAGCACAATCAATAGGGTAGTCTCCCACATGTGCGGTCAGAATTGCAGAATTAGAAAACAATGATGTCTTCAAAGACCAATCCCACAAGAACACCTTAAAAGCAGCATGAGAACATGAAAGTTGTATCCATCAGCTTCCAGATGATGTGAAACAGACTAATCTAAGAGCAATTAGAGTGCATAAAAGGTCAGAAGACAACACACATGGCATAAAAACATGTTTTCAGGGATAATGGCAGAAATCTTCCTGAATATAGGGAAAGAAATAAACATACATATAAATGAGCTATATAGAACCCCAAATCACCACGATCCAAAGAGCACCCATCTATGCCACACTCTACTCAAAGTACCAGAAGTCCATCACAAAGACAAAATCTTAAAGGCTGTTAGGGAAAGCCAACAAATCACATATAAAGGTAAACCTATTAGAATCACAGCAGGCTTTTCTACACAAATCTTAAAAGCCAGGAATGAAGTGTTGCAAGCCCTAAAAAATGACAACTTCCAACCTTGACTTATGAATTCTACAAATCTTTCTTTCAAAATTGATGAATAAATAAGGTATTTCCATGATAAGGAGCACCTCAAGAAATTCATGACCACCAATCCAGCATTACAAAAAATTCTCAAGAATATCCTAGAGAGACAATGAAACCAATAATGGCAATAAATAAAGAAGAATGAGTACACCTGGCAGGATAAGCAACTAAGCAAAAAGAAAAAAAAATCAGCAATAGGAAATAATTGTATTGACAAGAATAAGTCAATACCTCTCAATCATAACTCCCAATATGAATGATCTCAATTTCCCAATCAAAAGACACAGATGGAGGCTGGGGATTTGGCTCAGTGGTTCTGCTGCCTACCTCACAAGTGCAAGGGCCTGAGTTCGATCTCTGGTAGCTCCCGCCCCCAAGAAAAGACACAGATGGCATAATGCATCAAGAAACAACACCCAACAATATGCAGTATAAGAAACACATTTAATTAAAAACATAGATTACTATAGTCCCAGCAACTAGAACCACTGATGGTTAGTTACTTAACATCAGACAATGGATTAGAAATCAGAACCAGCCAGCAGCGAGACATATGAAATTCAGCCCTCTTATGAATGTGTTAAAAAATCAAAGGCTGGTAAACAATACTTCATGCAATGAGAACATGGAAAAAAGCAGGTGATGTGCTCCTCAAGGTAACCATACAACAGGTACTCTAAATCCATGTCACTTGTGGTCCAGCCTGGGGTCTGTCCATCTTTCAACTTGCTCATCCCATCATTATGTTAAGGTCTGAGGGGTCTAGGACCCAAGATCTTTGGTGGATTCTCGGTCTGGAATCTCCACGGACTCTGTTTCCTGGTCATAGCAATTTAATTTCCAAAACTCC